TGTGTGGCTAATGTACATGTTCACTCTGGCAGTTTTGTTAACTCTCCGATTTCTTTATATTGCTATCATGTAATGGACAATGTTACAGACCTCTTGGGAGAGGGTGAGTAACACTTATTTTCTAAGCTTCTTTTAATAGAGAATTGTTAATATAATTTTAACAGCTGTCTTTGCTTCTTGGAGTCTAGTGGTTTTCCCCCCCTCTCTTCTGCTTACTATTTCCATTTGGTCTTCGTATATGGTTGCATATAGACAATCTGGCAGCGCTTTCCAGTGTTACTTCTGAGCCACAGATTTCAGATCCATTTGCTCCAGAGCCTAGCCCAACTACTGCTGCAACTACTGAAATTGCAACTGCTTCAGCGTCTGCTACAACTACAACAACCATTACTGCTGTCACTGCTGAAGTGGATCTCTTTGGAGGTTAGTTTTGTTACTGTAATGCTGCAATTTATACAGGAAGAATAAGCCATCTTGAAATCATCAATTTTCATAGTCTAACTAAAAACTTGATCTTGTGGTGTCTGGAAGCCCAAATTATTCAAGTAATTAGATATTTGAATGGAATTTACAGATTAACTAAAGTTTCCTGGGTTGGTTTTTTGTCATTGTACATTCTGAAATGTGTGCAGGGTTTCCCTTTCGCATATCCCCTGTGGAGGGGGAACATAAAACTGGATACATTTTCAACTGGCTAAACTCTGGGTTCTAAACTTAACTCTTAAGTAGCCAACTATAGAACTAACAATTAACGTTAAAAATTAAATATTGGAAGGATTTCTTTAAAAAACGTTCAGCCGCAGATCTTCATTCTTATACTGTGAGTGAACCTAAGACATTTTCATTGAAATGTATAGGCTCATGTCCCTAAAATTACCAGTGCTCTACAGCTGTTTGTCATTGTACTTAATTGGCACACTCAGAGACCGACGTTGTGCTATTCTTTGACCTTTTCTTTAAATTCTAGTAATTTAGTCCTCTTAAGTTTTCTTGTATTTCAGAAGGTTTTGTTGAAGTTTTTTGTTGAAAGTAAACCCTAAAAAGTGTTTTGAAAACAAAATTGTCACGGACTGGCATAATTGGTGCCTTTTTCCTCATTTTTGAATTGCTGCATAGCTGAGCCAAAAGGGGAATCCCACCCAAAGAGATTGAAATGGCAAATTTAAATATCTACTGCTAGACCTTCAGGTAAAACTGGGCCCTTTCTCTGCCTTTTGCTGGGCCAAGGGAAGAGTGAGAATATCTCTGTAGCCTGATGGCTAGTGCACTCACTTAGGCTGTGGGAGACCCAATTTCAAGTCCCTGCTCCAATTATATACAGTGGAACAGCCTCAAAAGGAGAGATGAGGAGACCCAGCTCAGAATATTTATATTATATACAGGCCACTGGCTAGGGCATTCCCCTGCAATTTGCAATTAGGAGACCACAGTCCAAATCCCTTCTCTCCATCTGATGTGGAGGGAAGAATTGAACCCAGATCTCCCACATCCCAGGTAAATGCTGTAACCAGTGAGATAAAAGCTATAAGAGTAGCACCACCACGGCCTCCCATTTTGTGAATCTAGTCGTCCTAGTCTTTGCTCTTGTCAAAATGGCTGAAATTGAACCAATTTGTTGAGTTAGTTTAAAATGTATCAGTTTTGGTTTGGTGGAAAACTATTTTTGGCAAATGTGATGTGAATTGGCAAATAGTTTTGCTCAACCCAAAACTGCATTTTTTTCATTGAATAAACTATTTGCCAAAAATTCACCCAGCTCTGGCTTCCGCCTCTATGTTCTTGTTGGTTTGTGTTCTTTGATATCCCTTCTACAGAATCTAATCACCTTTCCTTTATAAACTCTAAAGAAAGGTTCTATGAAATCCACGCCCCAAGGAAATGAATTGTATTATTGAGGAATGTTTGGTTTTGCATTAGAACTTTCTGGTAATGTGTCAGTCTTCTGTGCCCTTGAAGCTTTCTTGGTTGACTAAAGCTATCAATAGTCATGTCTCCTTTGGTAGCGATGATGATGGTGATTTTTGTAAGGGCTTAGGTAGGGTTCTGATCATAATCTGATCTTTTCCTATTTCTTTCTGGTTTGTCTTCTCCTCATCACAAGCTTCCCACCCGCCTCAGATTCTCAAGCACACAAACATGTCCTGGAGTCATCCTCTATTTGCTACCAAAATGTTTCATTTCAAACTTCCAACTCCAGCTAAAATTATTGTGTACTTTGCCATATGGTATTTTGCACGCTGGACGCTGTATCTTCTCTTCTGACTCCTATACCAGTAAAACTCAAAGGATCGGGGATTTTCTTACTGCAGATTTTCCAGATTACACAAGATCCCCACATGTGCTTGAAACTATTTTATCCTTTTATGAACAGCAAAGGTAAAAAGATTACATTTCTTGAACAGACTTTTTACCCAATACATCTTTCCCATGATTTAAAATCACAGAACCCCTGGAAGTTCCCAAATCTCTTCTGTACAACCCATTAAATAGGGATTCTTGTTCAGGTGAGCACATGTAAAATTGGAATGAGCCTTCATCAGACTGCCTGATAAACAGACTTGGTTATCTACAGCTACCATTTTAACTGCACAAAAATATGCAATCCATAAGCAGTCAAGTCATTTCTCTATACTTCAGACTTCACCAGTGGCTCACTGGAATTGCTGAAGTGCTACTCAGCCCCTAATGAGAAGAAGCTGACTATTCTATACTAAGGGAGGATGAACATTCCTGAAGTACTTTTTCTCTTATAATGGGTTACTTTCTGAAGTGCTCATGGTTACTATATGTGGCAGAGAAATCTAGGACTACATTACTTGCCTCAACCTTATCACTCAAGGGGTCCCACTGTAATTTCCAGGGGTCTGAAGGCTACTCCTCATTGAACACAGTTTATACAAATGTGTATAAATTATGTATAGCACAGTAAACATACATATTGCTTTAAATATTTTTAAATATATGAATGAGAAATTGAAATGTGAGCTCTAAGATAGTAAAATTATAAATATACAACTGCATATACTGCAGAAGAATAGTTAAATGTTTTACCTATAATATTTTCTTATAATAAATGTATTCCTTCAGCAAGGAAGCTGCAAATGTGACTTTCTTTATCGTTCCACAACTAAATGCAATTTATCAGCTTCATCTGTGCCCGGCAGTTAAAAGATGATGATGGCTGGGGACTACCTTTTTGTCTCCATAGGTCATGTTTATAACCTGTGTCAGGGAGTCTGTTAAAATGTCTAGCATGCTTTTGGGTGTTATAAAAATAATTAGCATCCTAAACTCTATAGTAGAGCATGTCAAGAAACCTTTCTTTTATCACTTCAATGATATTTGGGTCTCAAGCATTTTGAGAGAGAGGTTATATCTGAGATTATCTGTAACCATCCGTAGCTACTTTCCATGGGTGAACAAGTAAAGGTTCTAGACCTCTGTTACCTGGATCTTGTCATTTGAAGAGAATATTATGAAGAAAAAATGATGATTTTAAATACCAATTTGCTCAGATCCTACGTGAATAGCAATTTTTTTCTTCAGAAAGAAATGGTTTAAGATATTTTTGCCACTTCTTTCTGGAAAAAAATCATAAATTTTAAACCATTTCTCTCATAAGAACATAAGAATGGCCATACTGGGTCAGACCAAAGGTCCCTCCAGCCCAGCATCCTGTCTGCTGACAGTGGCCAATGCCAGGTCCCCCAGAGGGAGTGAAACTAACAGGCAACGATCAAGTGACCTCTCTCCTGCCATCCATCTCCACCCTCTGACAAACAGAGGCTAGGGACACCATTCCTTACCCATCCTGGCTAATAGCCAATAATGGACTTAACCTCCATGAATTTATCTAGTTCTCTCTTAAACCCTGTTATAGTCCTAGCCCTCACAACTTCCTAAGGCAAGGAGTTTGACAAGTTGACTGTGCGCTGTGTGAAGAACTTCCTTTTATTTGTTTTAAACCTTCTGCCCATTAATTTCATTTGGTGGCCCCAGTTCTTATATAATGGGAAAAAGTAAATAACTTTTCCTTATTCACTTTCTCCACACCACTCGTGATTTTATATACCTCTATCATATCCCCCCTTAGTCTCCTCTTTTCCAAGCTGAAAAGTCCTAGCCTCTTTTATCTGCCCTCATATGGGACCTGTTCCAAACCCCTAATCATTTTAGCTGCCCTTGTCTGAACCTTTTCTAATGCCAGTATATCTTTTTTTGAGATGAGGAGACCACATCTGTACGCAGTATTCAAGATGTGGGCATACGATGGATTTATATAAGGGCAATAAGATATTCTACGTCTTATTCTCTATCCCTTTTTTTAATGATTCCTAACATCCTGTTTGCTTTTTTGACTGCCATTGCACACTGCGTGTACGTCTCAGAGAACTATCCACGATGACTCCAAGGTCTCTTTCCAGATTAGTTGTAGCTAAATTAGCCCCCATCATATTGTATGTATTTTTTCCAATGTGCATTACTTTACATTTATCCACATTAAATTTCATTTGCCGTTTTGTTGCCCAATCACTTAGTTTTGTGAGATCTTTTGGAAGTTTTTCAGAGTCTGCTTTGGTCTTAACTATCTTGAGCAGTTTAGTATCATCTGCAAACTTTGCCACCTCACTGTTTACCCCTTTCTCCAGATCATTTATGAATAAGTTGAATAGGATTGGTCCTAGGAGTGACCCTTGGGGAACACCACTAGTTACCCCTCTCCATTCTAAAAATTTACCATTTATTCCTACCCTTTGTTCCCGGTCTTTTAACCAGTTCTCAGTCCATGAAAGGATCTTCCCCCTCGTCCCATGACAACTTAATTTACGTAAGAGCCTTTGGTGAGGGACCTTGTCAAAGGCTTTCTGGAAACCTAAGTACACTATGTCCACTGGATCCCCCTTGTCCACATGTTTGTTGACCCCTTCAAAGAACTCTAATAGATTAGTAAGACATGATTTCCCTTTACAGAAACCATGTTGACTTTTGCCCAACAATTTATGTTCTGTGTGTCTGACAATTTTATTCTTTACTATTGTTTCAACTAATTTTCCCAGTACTGATGTTAGACATACCGGTCTATAATTGCCGGAATCCCCTCTAGAGCCCTTTTTAAATATTGGCGTTACATTAGCTATCTTCCAGTCATTGGGTACAAAAGCTGATTTAAAGGACAGGTTACAAACCATAGTTAATAGTTCCGCAATTTCACATTGAGTTCTTTCAGAACTCTTGGGTGAATGCCATCTAGTCCTGGTGACTTGTTACTGTTAAGTTTATCAATTAATTCCAAAACCTCCTCTAATGACACTTCAATCTGTGACAATTCCTCAGATTTGTCACCTACAAAGGACGACTCAGGTTTGGGAATCTCCTGAACATCCTCAGCTGTGAAGACTGAAGCAAAGAATTCATTTAGTTTC